TAAAAAATTGTCAACGGCCGTTGCTCCACAAACACCACGGGTAGTTGTTTCCAGATGAATCATTCCGGGGGGACCTGAAAAGAGAATTTGAATGCATTGTTGTTGCATGTGCAACGTGGCCGAAATTTGTTGGCGTTTTTTTCGATCTGGTATCCCCGGGATCAGATATCTATTCGCCGGTATTGCTATGAGGTGGTTTACAACCTTATACATCATTACACTCGAATTAAAGCGTCTACGATACATAAGTTGTTGCCACCCGAGTTGGTTCTTAAGAGCTGACGTACTGCTATATCGCCCATAGGTGTTTGTGCTAACTGCCACGTTGCTTCAACGAACGACCACTAGGAAAGTATGTAGCAAGAAAATTAAAGTAGCAAAGAAATACAAGCAGCATGCTGAAGGTTAAGGCTTACCGACGCTGTTTCTGATAGAAGGGAAGATGACCGCTGGCACGTCAGTCAGCTTGATGTAGGAAAGCACGAGTTCGTCCAAGTGATCAATGCCAGCGAAAGAGGCAGGGTGCAGCACTGGCGCCACCCCGTGGCGCCACCCACTTTCATCAATCTTCAACGAACCGTGATCAAAGTTCAGGCCGTGAAAGACGTTCTCTGGCACCTCCTCCATGTCATCGAACCCATGCAGCTCGATGCTAGCGTAGGTGACGTCACGGGGCAACGCCTCCATGACGCTGAACGCTTCGCTGCTGGACATATCGTGACCATCGCAGACAATGCTAGGGTAGCCGTTGTGCGGGATGGTGCATGTACACTCTCCCAGCACGTGCATCGACGGACACGGAGGGTTGTGTGGGTGAGCGTGAGTTACGGCGATGACCACAGCCGCCACGAGAAGGATGACCAGCTTGCACATGATTGCTGTAATTGCTGTAGTAACTCTTTGTATCTGTAACTACACAGAGAAACGGAACGAAGCTATACACGGAGCCAGCCCAAATTCACAAGCGCCAGGCCTGGTTCTAATACGCAAGCCAGTAGCGTAGAGAATATAGCAGTACGATATCACAGCGAATAGTAAAGAAACGTCGCTTCGAATGAGAATCTTTACTAAATACTACAAAGCACAAACAAGCCCCATTCCTGGTTCTAATCCGCAAACCATGCAGTAATGTAGAGAACACGATTGCACACAATATATCAATACGATATCACAGCGAATAGTCCAGTTCCCAGTTCAAGAAACGTAGACTCGAATGAAAATCTTTACTAAATACTATAAACACGGCGTATATAGATCCGCACAGAATTTAAATTAAATTATAGATAAATGTAAACGTAGGCTTACCTTACCAGCTGCTGCTCCTGATGTCAACTTGACTTGCTGACCAAACAATGACTATGCGTAAAGCTCACTATTTATACGCGGTCAGTCGGCCTTTTACCTACACGTGACGTGCTATAAGGTCACCGTAAATGTCACACACACCTGGTCTGGCGTGCGGTGGGTTTCAGTTAGAACCGCTGTGATTGGAGGTAAGATGAATTACCCTGCCACGTGCTTCATTACTAATCATCACGTGATCGGTCACTCTGCTGTGTCTGCGTCACGTGTGCAAATGACATAAGATATAAGATAAGATATAACAGTTTTATTTATCAACATGTTACGAGGACTCACGTACGGGGAGAACAAGCTATGATCTGCATTTGGGAGTTCCTATTTTTTATTGTTCACCCTGAAATTTTCCCCCATTTTTTATTTGCAGCTTCTTTTTGTTTTACAAAACACAGCTTTTCACAAACACTGCAGCCTGCCCAATTCGCACACTGCAGCTTCCCACTTGCAATTTCTCCCTTCACTGTATTTACAATAGAACAATAACAATTGCTTCTCCGCCGAACCAATGCCGATTTATTACAAACTCCTGCTCTACTAACAATAACAACAATAATAACAATGATTATGCACGTACTGTGTTATCACGTTACCCATACAAAGCAGATATCTGTGCAACGTGTCCGTGTTACGTGTCCACGTTATGTTGAGGAGAAAGGAGGGGGCGGGAAGGTGTGAGAATAGGATGCCAGAGAACCAAAGTTTCAGCGAGAATATCATAACGGGTACGTTATGATATTGTACGTTATGATATTGTCAGCGTGATCACCTACCCGTGAGATCTAGATGTATGTGGCTGTGGTGGTGGCCATGGGAATGAAGCACGTGCTCATCAAACGCCTCTTCAGTGAGGGTGCTGAGATGGTTGTCAGACAGGTCGAGGTCCTATAGCAAAGTAAAAATGAACGGGTTATTATCTTTTTACTTTTTATGGTTAAATTGCTGCATTATACTTCCTATTTTGCTATTCCGTTTGATGTGAACAAACAATATCAATCTTACTTTTTATGTAAAGAAAATTGCAACAAAAACTCACCTCGATCTCTCTCAGCCCTCTGAAAGCGTCGTCTCCAATCCAGTAGATCTGCTGGCTTGGCATATCCACCCTCAGGATGCCCTCGGTATCATCAAAGGCGCCTGGTCCCACCCAAGCAATCTGGCTGCCACTGAAGTCTAGGTGTTCAACGTGGTGAAGTCCAGCGAACGTGCCCGGTGCCAGTGCCACAAAGCTGTTGCCGGCAAGTTGCAAGATCGCCAGATTCCAGGCGTCTCTGAAGGTTCCTGGATGTAGGTAGTCGATACCGGCAGAGGTCAGGTCGAGAGCCTATCACAGGGAGCAGACACAGTGAGTGTGTTAGAGATGAGACTAGGTGCGCAAAGCTGCGAATAGCTATTGCACGGTAAAACGTAATAGCTCACTACGTAGCTTTGAAAATCAATGCTAAGTATCAAGCCTATATTTGCTGACGTAATTCATTTTTGCCTGATTTTGTTTGCGCGATATTTCGTGGGAAGGCACATTTAACATGGAGAAGGGTGCTGCGATACTCACATGCAGTTCAGGCACGCCAGTGAACGCCCACTTGTTGATGTACTTCAGGTTGTTCTCAGCAAGGACGAGGTGCTGGAGGTGACCGTGCGCCGCGAAGGCTCCCTGAAGTATCATAGTGATCGCGTTGCCGGCTAGGTTCAATGTCACTGCAAGAAAGCACACGGATGAACAGCTAGGACATCCAATTACGCTTTCATACAAAATCCAATCATGCCTTGGGAAATACATCCACGATTCGAGAGTTTTGATAAGCTAGAGAATCGGATTAGGTATGAAAATGAACATTATTGTAAACTTCGCATCAGAATAACTGTTATGTTATGTTATGTTCTCATACTTGTCGGTGTCCACTACGCTGGATATAATGACAAGGTAGTAAGTGCCTTCAGGGATAAACCTAATAAACAAACAGGTGCGTAATGATTGATGTGAGGCAATGCCGACTGCCGTGTCCTCTTAAAGTGGTTGCGTGCCATGTGGGAGTTAAGCCTGACTAAAAAATTGTCAACGGCCGTTGCTCCACAAACACCACGGGTAGTTGTTTCCAGATGAATCATTCCGGGGGGACCTGAAAAGAGAATTTGAATGCCATTGTTGTTGCCAGTGCAGTGCCGAAATTTGTGGTGGCGTTTTTTTCGATCTGTTAGCTCTAGCATTCCGGATGTCAGATATCTAGTTTCTTCGTTCTATGCTATGAGGTGCGTTTACAACCTATACACATTACACTCGATGTAAAGCGCTACATACAGAAGTTGTTGCCACCCGAGTTGGCTTCTTAAGAGCGACGTACGCTATTATCGCCCATAGGTTGTGCAACTGCCACGTGGGCGTTTCGAACGAATACTACCACTTAAGGAAAGTATGTAGCAAGAAAAAGATTATAATGTATGCAAAGAAATACATAAGCAGCATGCTGTTATAGGGTAAGGGCTTACCGTACGCTGTTCTGATAGAAGGTAGTATGACCTGCTGGCACGTCAGTCAAGCTTGAGTATTATATATCACTATCGTTCCAACGTATCAATCCAGCCGAAAGAGCAGGGCTGCCAGCACTGGCCCACCCCTGGCGCCACCCACTTTCATCAATCTTCAACGAACCGTGATCAAAGTTCAGGCCGTGAAAGACGTCTCTGGCACTCCTCCATGTCATCGACCATGCCAGCTCGCATGCTACCGTAGCGTACTTCACCGGGCAACGCCTCCAGACGCTAAAACGCTCCGCTGCTGGACATATCGTACCATCGCAGATCAATTCTAGTGGTTTTTATCTTCGTTTTTCGTGCGATTGGTGCATGTACACTCTGCGCCAGCACGGCATCGTGACGACACGGAGGGTTGTGTGTGTGGAGCCGTAGTTACTCGCGTTGTGGATGTGCCACTATGCGCTCTCTTAGCTGATGAAGTTTTGATGACCAGCTTGCATCATGATGCTGTAATTGCGGAGTAAACTCTTGTGTATCGTGTTTATATAGCTTTTACAACAGAGAAAACGAGACGAAGCTATACACGGACAGCCCAAATTCACAAGCGCGCAGGCCTTGTGGTTCTATATTACGGAATGTGCGCGAGGTTAGGCGGTGAGAGAATGTTATTAGCAGTACGAGGGTATCACAGCGAATAGTCGTAAAAGGGAAACTGTCGGCTTTTCGAATTGGGAGAATCTTTACTATATATTACCTACAAAGCACAAAAGCAATCCCCGAGTTCCTGCCTTCTTAATTCCTTGCCAAACCATGCAGATATTGTAGAGAACACGATTGCACACAATATATCAATAGATATCACAGCAATAGTCAGTTCCCAAGTTCAAGAAACGCAGACCTTCGAATGAAAATCTTGACTAAATACTATAAACACCGCGCTAATAGATCCGCAGAGAATAAAGTTAAATTATAGATAAATTAAACGTAGGCGCTTACCCTACCAGCTGCTGCTCCGATGTCACTTGATCTTGCTGACCAAACATATGACTAGCGCCTAAAGCTCACTATTTACGCGGCCTCACGCGCCTGTTACCTACACGAACCTGGCTATAAATCCGTCCCGTAAATGCTCACACACACCTGGTCTGGCGTGCGGTGCGTTTCAGTTAAACCGCGTGATTGCGAGGTAACGATGTAAATCTACCTAGCCACGTGCTTCATACTAAGTCATCACGTTGATCGCTCACTCTGCTGTGTCTGCGTCACGTGCTGCAAATGACATAAGAGTATAAGATATAGATATAACAGTTTATTATCAATTCATCGTTTCGCTGATGTGACTCACTATCCGTAGAACTAATGGCTATGATTCTGCATTTGGAGTTCCTATTTTTATTGTCACCCTGGAGAATTTCCCTCTCTATTTTTTATTGGTTGTTCTGCAAGCTTCTTTCTTGTTTACAAACACCAGCTTTTCACAAACCACTGCAGCCTGCCCCAATTTCGCCCACACTGCAGCTTCCCACTTGGCAATTTCTCCCTTTCACTGTATTTACATAGAACAATAACTAATTGCTTCTCGCCGAACACAATGCTATTTTATTACAAACTCCTGCCGTCTACTAACAATAACAACAATAATAACAATGATTTGCACGTACCTGTGTCTATCACGTTGGATCCTTGCATACTTAAAGCAGATATCTGTGCAACTCTGTCGTTTTATCGGTCCAGCGTTATGGTGGTCGCGATTCTGACGCGTTCTTTTCAGAGACGTTCTTACGTCCACGTTAGTGTGCAAGGACCTGTTCCTGATAACGTCTCTGTGTTACGTGTCCACGTGTATTGTGCATTCGACCTGTCCCAGTAACGTGTCTTGTGTGATCGCTCCACGTTATATATGCATGCAGACCGTCCCTAGTAATCGTGCCATGTTACGTGGTCCAACGTTA